TATCGTACCTTGTTGTGAGAAAACATGCTTACTACTCTGAAATAAGTAGTCACTTATGCGAAGTGAGCAAAGTGAGCCCGTAACGAGACTGTCGACGTATACAGTAGGTGAGGAAATTCACGCAAAGTCATGATCGAAACTGGACTTGGTAGTTTAGCCCATTTATTTGGTGAGATTTAATGAGTGGATATCATCCCCAGAAAGCCTTCTAGTAAGGATAACTACTTGTTTAGTTTAGTGTATTTAAGGGTATTAGGCAGAATTTTGCCGAAATCTGAGTTTTCCTGATATCGAACACATTTTCTTTGCCACTTAGTATGACAGAACCAAACAACAGTGGCAGTGGTAATAACGAGCTCAATTTCCACAAAAAGCGATGCACTTACGAGGACCCAGTTCTCGGAGACCAAGAGGCTGACTGGATGGTTGCAGCGTCGATGCACCGCACTGTGGATCACCTTACCGACGACCACGTCGATGAGGTAGAGCGAAACGATGTCCACCTTCTCGAGGGCACTCTCGCCCAGCGTCATCACCGCCAGCAAGTTCGAATTCACGTACTTGTAGAGCACATTTCTATCACCCAACACTCGACCGATGGAGTAGATGTGTTCTAAAAGCCAGGCAGAGTGGGATTGCCAAGTGTAAGCAGATCAAAGTGACTCCGGTCGACATCTCAGGATCCTGTGGTTGACACAAGGCCACCAATACAGCCCCAAAGAGCGATGGAGGCCAAAAAAGCCGTCTGAGTTAAAGCAATGAGGTGTTGGAGTCCGAAATGGACCACAATTCACCTAGAGCACAACCTGTGAGCTGTAGCTTTAGGCACAAATAAATTATTCGGCAAGTTAACTTAGTTCTGCGGAAACTATCTAACTAACCGCTGGGTATGCCACGGGCTACGACAAGACGATGCCATGGCAGAGCTGCGTAGGAATGACTTCAAACAGGTCTGTTTTTGACGGAGAAACTGGGATTCCCAACTAGCATATAAAAAAAACATGG